GCAGGCATTGTCACCCACGTTCTCACCCCCATAGACGGCATGGGTCACATTCCTGTCCTTGCCAAGCCCTGGGTTTCTAACTCCCAGAGGTCTTCCCTAACCATCACCTTTCCCCCAAACAGAAGCTACTGAGTATAAAGCTTTAAGTGCCACCTGCCACATGGGACAAAATCAGGAGGCCATGGGACAGCTGTGCCCACGAGCTCAGCAGCGCCTGCTGCCTCTGGCAGTGGCTGAGGGACCACGGTAGGCTGGCCTGCAGTCACCCTGGACCATGGGTCCTCCGGTGCAGCAGCATCTGGGCTGCTCGTGGGAGCGCTGTCCCCAGCTGGGGGCAGAGCTCAGCGGAGAGGCTTGCTTTGCAGGAACAGGGACCTGGGTTCGATCCTATCATCACCAAAAGTGGAACAGGCAGTAGCTTTCCAACAGGAATAAAAAATGTACAAAGAAAAGAAGAAAAAACAGTGTCCTGGACCTCAACCATACCTCCCAGAATCAGACTTCCTTTTTTTTTTTTTAATGTATTTAGTACCAGGTCTACAGAGGCTCACTACACAGCTCGGACACATAGTGATCCTCCTGTTTTCAGCCTGCCAAGCACTGGAATTAGAGGCGTGCGCCACCATGCCCAGTCTCAGTCACCATCTCAGCATGCCTCCGGGGTGGGCTGACACAGCACGCCAGGGATTGGACCCCAGCCCCTGCATCTGTCTATGCAGGTGCCAGACACTGAGCTACCTGCCTGGCCCCAGAATCAGACTTTCTGAGGGTATCTAGGAATGAGCATCTTTAACAGACTTTCGGCACCCGGATGCTTGAGACCACACTTGTTGGGGCTTCTGTGATTAGCACCAGGCACAGGGTGATTCCCACTGCATGGTACAGGAAGAACACACACATCTGAGAGGCCCCTGTCCACACCCCCGTCATAAGCTGTGTTAAAGCAGAGCCCAGCATGCTGGTGCCCACTCTGGGAGGCCGAGGCAGGAGGATCACAAGTTTGAGCCCAGCCCAGGCAACTCAGCACCTTAGTGAGACCCTACTTCCAGATGAAAACTAAAAGGGCTAGGGAAGTAACTCATTACAAAGGCCCTACATTCAATCCCCAGTGCTGTACAAGATTAACAGTAATAAAGAAACAGCAAAAAGATGCTTCTGCCTAGGCACATATGCATACGCTCACCCATGCGCACCCACGCACGCACCCATCTGCCTCAGCCTGCGCCGGGAGGGCCGCGCTCACTCACTCGTAGGGGATGCTTCGGAAGACGACGTGGTCCAGCAGCGTGATCTGCTCCGCCAGCTCCATGGCCGACAAGCTCTCGAAGCACTCAGCCTTCACGCAGTCACTCTGCAACACAGCAGGCGGTGGGTGGCTGTGCTGGCCAGCACCCGCCGCCCCGTCTGCAGGTCTGGGCGGCAGACAGCACACCCGCAGGGCCACAGAGCCTGTCCCTAGGCTCCAACCGTGAAAGCCAGTGCAGGGAGCTCAAAGATATCACAAGCAACACTAATCACAGTTGTCCACTGCCATAGCCCAGCCCGAATGCGGCTGTGTGCACAGAGCTGGGCAAATGACA